CCAAACAAGTGTAAAGTTTGTTGAATTTTTGCAATTTTCCTTTTTTGTTATTGAGAAAGATGCAATTACATATTCTTCAAAAAATAGGAATATAATTGAAAAAAAGCTTAAATGTACGGAATTTTTTGCGCCTATATTGAAAATTAACACTGAATAAATACCAATATATGCTCAAAAATAGTATTCAAATCATACTTCAGGTTTATTATATGTTTACGAAATTCAATCCTACAGTAAAGTGAACAAGATCAAAACCGGAAAAATTACTAAACAAATATGTGTAAATAGCAAATGTTTGTTAAAAACTGATATTGCAAAAATAAAACATGATTAATAAATTTAGGATTAAGGACTTATAGTTTTAATCAACTGTTAACTTGCCATTATGCATTATTGTTGCCTTTTTATTAAGGAAGAGGATATTTAGTAAAATATATATTCTTCAAAAAACAAACCAGCAACAGCGAGATCTTAAACATGTATTTTATTACCACCATCTGAAGTATGTTAAATCAATTTCTGTACTATTATTTTAAGTGTAAAATTATTTAAGAAAAATTAAGATACCTTTTTGAAATTAGGAAATGCAGTCGATGAAGGGCAAATCGGATATACATATTTATTTAGTTAAAACCAAATGATATAAGCCTTCTGCAAGAGCAGGGAACTACGTTTCATTTTCTCTCGTCTTAAGTGAATAATAGCGATAAGTGGCTTCATGTGGCAACCATGCTGTCTATAGATAAGGACGACTTTAGTGACGTAGTGTCAGCCGTGCCGTGGCTTTGTATGTAGAAGGTACTGCCATGACTCGCCATGAAAGCGGTGTGGACCAGCGTCAGGAGCCTTCCCGTGGAATGTCTCAGCTGCGCCGCATACCGGGCATAAAGCTCGGAGCAACCGTTACTTTGACTAATATAATACTTGACTATGCTTTGACATAAAAGAATTTTTATAAGTAGCAGAGCATGAATTGAACATCTTCCTTGCATAGCAGATGAATAAGCTGGTCTAGATGAAAACATTTGAACTGACAGTAAAACTGCCAGAGTATGAATGGCTTCAACTGTAATAGCACGTGCATTGTTATCTAAAGCTATATCAACAACTATTTCAATTTATTTATCACAAGAACACCGCATGGAGGAATACAATAAATCTTTGCATTACTCCATTTGATAGAGATATAAGGTTCACTTGACCATGTTCTGGTGAACATCAATATACATACATTTTCATCTTATGACAAGTTCATTATTGGTAACTTTCATGTTAAAATATAAACAGATTTTAACTAAAAGTGCAAAATGCAAGCAACTCAATCTGAATAAGGTGCTACTTTGGTAGACGGTTGCACGAATTTTGACTTTTTTTTTTTTTGGCCGAGCGATACGGCTTATGGTAAACCTATTGCTGGACAAGTTATTTATGTTAATCCATACTTTGTTGTCACTTTATTTAAAAAATAATGTGTTTTATTATGCATAAATTCTATGTTTTAAATATTATTTATGGCTTCTAAATATTGAAAATCAATTTAATTTTGCATTTTTATTTGAAATAAAAATTTTATTGTTAATGATATTTTATATAATTTTATGTTGTGGATGATGTAATCAATGACGTCACCTTCCTTTAAAAGTAATTGGTTTTAATATGTATAAATTTAATCTAATGTTTTAAACATTATTTATGGTGTTAAATATTAAAATACAATTTAATTTTGCATTTTTTTAAAAAATTTTTTATTATGCATGATTATTTAAATAATTTTAATTCTATTCGTGATGTAATCAATTGGTTACTGAATATTTGTGCATTACCGCGCCATTTTAAAATTTTATTATTCATCTCTTCGACTTTCTTAGATTAATTACAAATGTTCATATCAGTTTACTAGACTTCCTTAGATTAATTACAAATGCTCATATCAGTTTAGATACATTTTAAAAATTATATTACATTTTTCAATTTTTTTTCAATTGATATCTAAATTATGATTCCAATTTTTTTTGTGGTACTTATCAATCAATATACGACAGGTTAAATACTCAAAAAAATTTAAGTACATATTTTTCTTTTACTTTATAATTGTATACTTCAATTTTTATTTAAAAAATTAATACAGTGTTTTTAAAAATTGCCGAATATTTATTGCCACACATGTTTTAATGTTAAATAATTATATCTTATGAAACTTATTTTAAAGGATTTAAGTAATATTTTAATTATTTTAAACGTTGGATGATGTTTTTATTCGATATTCAATTTAAGTATTATTTTAATTCTTTTAAAAATTGGTATGATGTTTTCAATTCGATATTCAATTTAAGTAATATTTTAATACAATTAAACGTTGGCGCAATGTTTTTATTCTATTTCTTTGCTTTATGAAAGTAATAATTTAACCTTACTTTAGTATTTTTTTTATTTATTTCTCTTTTTTTTTATACTCGTAGTATATGTATTTATTTACATTTGCCTGTCATCTTAAAAAACGGCATTTTCAACAAAAAATTAATCCATTTTTTAACTATATTAATTTTTTTAAAGTTTCAAATACTTTACTAAGCTTAAAATACGTACAAACAGCGTTTTTCAAGATGGCTGACAATTGTAAAAACTGCGCCAATGTAAATCGCCAAAAATCCGTGCAACCATCTACCAATGTAGCACCCTGAATAAATAACAGAAGGGAATATATTGACATTCTTGTTGAAGATTTTAATTTAAGATTTCATCAGGAAATTGTGAATATACACTCTTTTGCAAAAAAATCGAAGCACCATGAAGAAAGTACCGTATTTGACGGCATATAAGACGCACCCTTATTTAGAAGGCCACAACTTTTTTTTGCCACAATAACTTACAAGTACCACAATAACTTAAAATGTGGTTTCTTTTAGTTCTCATGTTTCGTAAAAACCAAATGAACAATCATTGAATGCAATTACCAAACATATTTTTATTAAGGAAAATTAACAAACGGCAAGCTATTTTGAACATGATATGTAAATTTCAATAATGAATAAATGAATGAACGGCAAGCAATCAAACATAATACAAAATAAAGCAGAAACAACAAAAACACAGATTCAAAGAAAACGTTGCCTATCATGAAATTAGACTTTAATCACTTTCAAAACCATAAAAATCCTTTTCACTATCATCAGCATCGAAAACGAGAATATCGTCATCGCTAGTATCACCCTCTTCGAATAATGCGTCGTCTTCTGTTCCGTCAAGTGCATTACTGATTCCGCACTTCTTAGAGGACTTAACAATTACTTCAGCCTTTACGTCCTCCCAAGATCTTTTTACCCACCCGCACACTTGTGAAATAGAGGGCCGCTTCATTCTACCTGAGGTTGTGAGGACGTGATGTGGCTCTTCTATCCACTTCTTCCATCGTTCTTGCACTTTTTCCTTAAATGGCTTATTCACTGATACATCTAAAGGCTGCAAATGGCTAGTCAGTCCACCAGGAATGACAGCTATCTGGGTTTTTAATTTTCTCATTTTATTCTTTATGGTTTCAGTTCTATGGTCGCTAAACTGATCCAAAACCAAAAGAGAGGGTTTTCTTAAGAGTCCACCAGGTCGCATCGCCCATATATTCTGTAACCACAGTTTCATTCCATCTTCGTCCATCCAGCCTTTCGGATGAACATGAACAATTGCACCCGTTGGAAGTTTTTCTTTTGAATATCATTCAGTATTGAAAGTTAACCTGTGTCCTTCACGTATAAGACGCAGGTAACTTTTTTGAGACCAAATTTAGGAAAAAAAGTGCGTCTTATATGCCGTCAAATACGGTAGTCGTTTCTGATGAAATTAAATATGTGTATAGCACAGATAATAAAATGATTAAAAAATCAATATCATAGTACCTGTTCATGGCTCACAATCACCCATTGAGTGTTCAAGTTAGTAGTTGGTCCAACCATGCCTGGCGGAAATGCATGCTAGAATTCGTCGAGGCAAGGAGTGGTAGAGGTTCCTAATGTCATCCTGCAACACATTCTGCCAGGCATTCATCAGTTGTCGCTCCAGATCTGCGATTTTTTGTGGTGCCTAAATCTGGCAGCCTATCATGTCCTAAACATGCTCGATTGGTGAAAGGTCAGGTGACCTTGCTGGCCAAGGAAGAGTATCAACCATACGGAGACAGTCCAGAGGTATGCGAGCGGTATGTGGCCTTGCATTATCTTGTTGGAAAATGGCCCCAGGATGACGTGCCATGATGGGTAATGCAACCAGCCGCAAGATCGTATCAACATGTCGTCGAGCTGCTAAAGATGTATGCAGGATGACTAAAGATGACCTGCCGCCATAAGAAATAGTGCCCCACACCATCACACCAGGGGTAAACAAAGGCTGATTGGGACTGCTGGCCCCATTCGCAAATAAGCAAAATGTACACTGCTAGGACAACGGCTTGAATTTGGCCAATGGCAATCTAGATGACTCCGCCTACGATGATGATGTCACAAGGCTCAAAATTTGTTTTACCGACATTTTTTTTTTTTTTTTAGTTTGCAGTATGACCTATTTTGAAAATTACCGCCGCTGAACTTCCTAAATCATTTGAAAATGAGATAGTGAACTCATTAGATGACATAGTTACAATAAGAAGTAATTTGAAAAATATGGAAGATATCAACTAATGGGTACAAGAATTTGCTCAAAAAACAAATACTCAATGGAATACAAGAACTTAAAATCCAAATTGGGAACATCTCATTGGTTTGCAAGTGCATAATTGTTATTTATTCATTTCATTAACGAAATTATCATTAATTCATTATAATGTATAATATATTAATGTTTGTTAATAATATTTTTTAATAATTATATCTAATATTTTATCTTCAGTAAATTAATATAAAATCTTATTTTTTTCTTTAAATAGCATTAATCATCACCATGAATTGCAGATAATGAAGATACTTATATTGATAATCCCAATATTTTCAGAAACAAATTTATTTGCCATCATAGTTCTCATAAAAAGTTGCAAAAAAATGAGCAGAAACAGTGTCTCAAGAAATGCAGATTGCAGAGCTTTCGTGAAAATTATAATTAAGAAAGACACAAGATCTGTAAGATGAAAGGATAAATTTGTCAAAGTAAGTTACATGTACACATTATATAATACACAGATTTAAGTGGCTTATGTAAGCATAAAAGTATTGTTATTTAATATCAAGTTTCCCTCATCCACAGTCAACTGGCAAATAAAAAAACTATGAAAACATAATAATAATTAAAATCAATCAAAAAACTACATTAATTTGGGATAAATATTTATTAAAACTTAGTCAACTTCAAGAACACTCAGACAATCTTGTCTTTTACTGGAGCAAAAAAAGTTCTGCTTCTGGAAAAGTCTTGTTTTTTACATTGTCATGTTTCTCTTCCATTTGATATAATAGCTTGCATAAACATACTTAAATTTATATTAACTTACTTTATCTTATTGTTTTATGTGCATAAAAGTCAGTTGTTTTATAATTTGCGGGTTTTTTTTTTTTTACTTGTATAATGTGTATATATGTGTGAATGTATAAGTGCATCTCTCTCTGTATATACAGTCAAAAGTCGTTAATCTGGACTCGTCGGGACTTCGGCGATTCCGGATTATCGATTTTTCCAGATTACAGATCATCAGTTTAAATCTGGTAAGATGGCATGCAGAAATTATAAAATTAAAAATATGAAACTGTAATTTATGAAATAAAGAACAATTATGATCAAAAAGGTACCAAAATTTACAAAAAGAAAAAGCTTAATATTTATTTGTTTACTTTATTAAACATTTCTTTCAATGTAAGTTGTTTAAGTTGCTTCGTTTTATGTGATAATACTTTCTCTTTAATTCTGTAAACAGACATAATTTCTTCTTCAGTTACAAAGTTCCGCTGTTCAAGTCCTATAATTGCTGTGTCGAGAATACCGACTAATTTGTCAATCGAAATTTTTTCGTTTTCAATAACCTCTGTGTCACTTTCTTCACTATCGGAAGCGAATTATAATGAGGAGGAATTTGATTTAAATCATATCAAAGACGGAGTACATCGAGATGAAATACTACATTTAGTAAAGAATTATAAGCCAAATAAAATAAACACATCTGCCCTGAAGATAAGGATAGTGCTGACAGATCAACTTCCAATTCATCGCTCGCCGCGGCGTTTCCCCTCCTCTGCCGCAGAGCAGCGTGAAATTGATAAATAGATTTCGGAATGGTTAGAGAAACGAAGGATATGCCTTTATCCATTTTTTGCAGAAATTCCAGTTTTTGTTTAATGTACTTCGAAACATACTTTCGCTTTGTAGATCCTTTACATATTAGTAAATATATATCGGAAATTCTATTTGACATAATCGAAAGTTCAATCTTACTTTTATAAAACTGCTCTAACAGTCTGCAAAAAATAATAAGCTGGATCCAATTCGAAGGTTAAGGAACAACGCAATCTGGAACATTAACTGAATTAGATAATTTTAGCTTAGCTTATACCGTCCGTTATACATTAAACGCGCATGCTTAAGCGCATTATGCGCATGCGCACAAGCATATTCCCAGCCGTAAAGGTCTTGACGCATGCGCAGAAAGTTTGTAGCTTTGAGGTCCGGATTATAGATTATTCCGGATTATGGGTGTTTGAATTAACGACTTTTGACTGTATATGTATTTACCAGGAACTCAAAAGCTGAGCACAACCATAAAAATTTTGTTGCACATCTCATGGCACAATCCCTAAGACATGAGAAATTTAACATTTTGTTTTGCTTTGATTTTAGTTGATCTTGCTTAGTTTTCATTCAATAACTTTATTAAGTTATTTTATGTAGTATTTTAATTTAATAAGGTTGATAACTGAATTTCCATAGCTTTCTTTATACATGCAGTTTCAATTTTCAATGCATGTAATAATTCTCCTTCATGTTCCTCCACACACAGCCGACCAGCGGCTGAGTGACCAAGTCACTGAACACTGATAGTTCGAGTGAATAGGTTAGTTGCATGGGCACTTTCCTAATTTTCCACATGGGTATGAGATAGTTTTTTTTTCCTTAGAAAATTCCTCCATGAAAACATCCCTCCCACATAGACCTTGTATGCTTTTCATAATCAAATAAACCAAACCAACTCTCCAGGCATAACAGCTCCTCAATAGAAATGCTTCATATCTGTCAAGCAAATGACATTCATTAATGCAATAAATTGTCATCATACACACTAAATCAAACTCAGAACTTCTTAATAATGCTTACAGAAGCAAAGAACTCAATACCAAACTTTTTTGATTAATTTGAATTTTTAGAAATATTTGAATACATTCCTCATCTTTGATAAATACATTGAACTCTCTTTAAGATGACCACAAGCAGTTCTACATGATTTTAATTTCATGTTGAACTGCTTAGTACAAAAATGTTTTTGTATATTGAGGAGAAGTAGTCAGTTGTCAGAGGTGATCACAAAGAAAGGGTCGGCTGTGTTATGATAATCTGTTCCTGAATTTTTTTGCATGGAAGGAAATGTTTCTAAGTATAGGGCATAATATATCAGTTTAAACAGTCCACATTAAGATTTGATCTAAGAAATGAATAATGTTAATACTGAAATTAAAATTATATAAATTTCAGTGCTATGAATGTAATGTGAATCTCAAATTTAGTTTCCTGCAATGTGATTTTTCTTGGAATGTGAAGATAAGGCTCTGCTACGTTGATATATATAAATTTTAAATATATCACGTAGTCCTATATTTGAATATAATACTGAAAAATGTTAGACATACAAGAAATTAATTAAATGTTTTCTTCGCACAATTATGGGATATTCATTACTGTAATACCCTGACTTAAGGCAGCCTTAGTTACACATTTCCAAATCCATCAGAAAAATGGATGAAAGTCTTGACAAAAGATCTTTGCTAAATTAAAAAATCTGATGTGTACACCACATGACTTCCTTGTACGGAATATTAAATTATACGCATTTTTTCTTGCATTTTATTTAAACTTATTAGATTGAATTAAACCTACTTCGCCGACAGCGCATAAACCACAATAGAATAAATGCATTCTTTAAAATTCACTTTGTTTACCATAGCGACACTCTGGCGCTAGGTTTACTTAACAGTATTATATTTCGTTCATATTATAACTCAGAGTGCACAAAATTTAAATCATTTAAAGAATTATCTAATCGTTGCCACATGTTCTATTCAAATACTATAATAAAGCTAGAACTATGTATAAAGGAAATTAAGCAAACAAAACAAAAAAAGAAACAGTTTTTCACAGACGATTGAGTATTTCTCATTCAATTAATTCAGTTTTCACTTCGCGACAAGGCAAAAATACATACAAACTCAAAATATCTGTATTAAAAATTACGAAGTAAATCTTAAACGCTTATTTCCTCGAAAAAATTCCAGAAATGATTTAAATAATAAATGAAGGCGTTATCTTTGTTGTTGCGAAGCTAAGTTTCTCTAGATTGGCAACAAATCCGCTACTCAGCTGTTTCAAATGTAAACAAGAGCAATGGCCGCCGTCAAATTAGGCTTAGCGGCACTTAAACAATTTTAAAATTGTTGATAATTCTAAAAATATTGCATACCGATTTACTAAAGGCATAAAACCCTTAACCGAAAGATAAAAACAACATAATTCAATCATTTTTAAAGCAAAAAATTTACAATTTATAAACATATAAGAGTAAAGAAACTAAGATTTCTGAGCCGGGTAACAGAGTGGATATATTTATAAATATATTTATATACGTTTGGCGCGGCTGATTGAAACCAAAATACGGGGTGCACATCTACATGTTATAGTAGTCCTTATATACAAAATTTCAACGTTCTGAGGCTACTCGTTTTTGAGTTATGCGAGATACGTACGCACGTACGTACATACGTTAATACAGACACCACGAAAAATTCTCTTCAGAATTCATTTTAAAGCAATTTTTTAATTTTTTTGGACGAAAAGAGTGTTTTATTCTGTCCTTACGTACAGATATCACGCAAAAACATCGTTAAATTGCATTCGAAAGCGGTCAAAGTGGATATTTTCGTTGAAATATGCTGCCTGAAGCTTTTCGCGATTACAATACTTCCTTTTTACTTCGTACAAGGATGTAAAAAGGCAATAAGCTTTGGAGAATATAGATTCTAATTAGAAATGTGTACTAAATACAAGGCCATTGTTATCCTTATAAATATATTGTATTAATTTTAATACTGTTTTAGGTTCTTACATAATATTCCATTGACTGGCCAAATAGCATGATTTAGTGCCAATTATGGATGACTGTATCCTTTAGAATTCCACAGCAACTACTGGGGTTGGTGGTCATTGCCAAAAGGCAATAAGCTTTGGAGAATATAGATTCTAATTAGAAATGTGTACTAAATACAAGGCCATTGTTATCCTTATAAATATATTGTATTAATTTTAATACTGTTTTAGGTTCTTACATAATATTCCATTGACTAGCCAAATAGCATGATTTAGTGCCAATTATGGATGACTGTATCCTTTAGAATTCCACAGCAACTACTGGGGTTGGTGGTCATTGCCAAAATTTCCACAAACATCAATCGGATAATACATAAGTACCCTATTTTATACTGATATAAATGCAAACTAAATTTTTTATTACATACCTTTCTACTAAAAAAAAATGTTTTTGGCGCCCTTGGTTTCGTTTATTTCATTATGGCAAAGCACTCAAGTGCTACTGGCTTAACAGGAAGGATGCCTTCTTTGAGGACTTTAAAAGAGAAACTGTCTTGTATACACATTACACATGAGAAAAATCATGAAAGCGCCCAGGCAGACAGACCATTTGCCGGGATTTGAACATTGGACTAAACTACTAGTGTTCAGTGTCTTTACTGCTCGACTGCTGGTGCTCTGGCCCTTTGTCTTTTTAAACTAAATTTCATCTTTATTTATAAACAACCCATCAGAAAATGCACACACTTTAATTAATGAAGGAAAATGCTTGTGCTTTAGTATATAACTTAAGTATAAGTTAATCAAATCATTTAATACAATTTTCCTGATTATTTACCTGTTCAGTCACTTAGGTACTCAAAGTATTACAGTGGTAGCCATTAGCAGCTAGACCACATAGCACACATTTAGCAGTTACTTGAACAAAGTTAGTCAATTTGTCTGACGGGACTGCTGCGCATTCTGCCATAATTTCTTTACCTCTAGCGTAACTGATTTCCTGTGCTACACTACATTCTTCAAAGTTCTCCAAATCCCCTTTGGTTCACTGTCATATGTCACATATTACAGTCATGAGTACCAACATGTGTTAAGAAAATACCATACTACATAGTGTAAAGATAATTCAATTTCGAAACGAATACTTAAATATCATCTGTTAAAGCGTGTATGTATTTTTCTGACAGATCCTGTATGTAAAGTTGTTTTTTTCATTGGTTTCACCTATTAATTAACTTTAAGGTACTATACTATAGAATATATATGAAACTGAACTGATAGATGTTCACATTTGTCTCTTTCATTTGTTTACTTTTCATATAGTTTTGAATAGTTTTACTTTTTTATGTTGCTTTACATGATGCCAATTTAAAAATAAGAAAAAGAACAAAAGAAAATCCCACTGAAGCTAAATTTAAAATTAACCTGAAGATTACTGATGATGTAAAATAAATAGTGACTAATATACCAAACTTACATAAGATGGCAAATAAATAATTAGTATATTCAGATTTTAATTACATGTAAAATTTTACATTTCTCTTTTTAGAATGGCCTACAAGGAAAAAAGGAAAATTTGAAATCTTTTGTAAGTATAGCCACAATCTGAATGTTGCAGATACGTAGTGTATTCGGAAACTAAGTACCGTTTCATTCTAGCGCCGTCGCAGCGCTGTGGTAAGCGTCCCGCGCATGCGCACTAGTCTTTCTTGTTCACTGACTTTCAATTGTCGCCATTTTGGTTGCTCTATGTTGTGTTTTCACTTTGCTCTGCATATTCAAAATGTTTAAGACAATTAGTTCTCCCGTTGACTGTGAGATTCGTGCCGTGATTAATTTTTTGAACGCGAGGAATGTTAAACCGGCCGAAATTTATCGTCAAGTGACAGAAGTTTACGGTGAATACGCGATAAGTGATGGAATGGTGAGAAAGTGGGTAAGAATGTTTAATGCAGGTCGAACAAATGTCCACGCCGAGGCTCGGAGTGGTCGGCCTTCTGTTGTCACCGATGATTTGGTAAGGAAAGTTGATGAAGCAATCATGAGAACAGACGCTTCCACAATGACAACTCTTTCAGAGGCATTTCCACAAATTTCACGTTCTGTTTGTTCGAAATTGTGTCTGACCTCTTGAATTATCGCAAACTGTGTTCCCGATGGGTTCCAAAAATGCTCACTGATGTTCACAAAACAAAGCGACTTGGTAGTGCCCTGACATTTCTCACGCGGTACAGTGATGAGGGAGAAAACCTTTTAAACCAAATTTTGACAGGTGATGAAACTTGGGTGTGTCATTTACACCAGAATCGAAACAACAATCGATGGAGTGGAGACGCTCAGTAAAGGAATTGTGTTGCTCCATAACAATGCTAGGCCCCATACTGCTGGTGTCACTCAATCGTTAATTCGACAGTTTCATTGGGAGCAGTTTGATCAACCGCCGTACAGCCCGGACTTGGCGCCGTCCGACTATCACTTGTTCCTGCACATGAAGCGCGAGCTTGGTGGCAAGCACTTTGGATCTGACGATGACACGAAAAATGCTGTGGAGTCGTGGTTATCGAAACTGGCGGGAAGTTTCTTTGACGATGGTATACAAAAACTGGTCACCCGCTATGACAAGTGTTTGATCATTGGCGGAAACCATGTTGAAAAATAGTTTAAGACATGTATTTTCATGTAAAAATAAAATTGGATTCGAAAAAATTGTTTTACTTTTTTTTTTTTTTTCAAAACGGTACTTAGTTTCCGAGTACGCCTTGTACATTAAGATTTTTACCTGCTGATCCTACTCTGAAGGACCAATTTTTTTTATTATTTTTCCAATGGAATGGGTATTGCAGAAGCTGCAAGATATCATTCGCAACTAATTGAGAAGAAGAATGTGTGGAAGAAACACCAGCAAGTGGCAGAAAAAAATCCTACGGAAAGGTGTATTCGATATTGGCATGATATGTGGCAAAATTTACAGTTTGGTGCACGCAGTGGAGCTGGTCTGATGGAAGTAAGTTACTTCATATGTTTGTTACTACTATATTCATTCAATGTAGATGAAACTTGAACCAATACTTTGTGGAAAAGTTTTTAATAAATTATCTGTAGTTACTATTTTCTCATATTATGGTGATTTTATATTATTACATAAAATTATAGTTTGCTGTTTTTTTTAAATATGCAGAAAATGAAGCATATTGCACAAATACTTAAAAAAATCTAAATTTATATTCTAGAAACTGAAGAGAAGCAAACAGCTTACCAGCAACATGGTATTAGTATATTGTTTAGAGAAGACCCATTTGCTGTTGCTGTTGTAATACCACTGATGAGAGAGTCTCAAAGAAATTGTTTTTGTCAATTAGAGTCCTCAGAAATTGTTTTTGTCAATTAGAGTCCTCAAAAGAAATTGTTTTTGTCAATTAGAGTCCTCAAAAGAAATTGTTTATGTTGACACTACAAGTGCATGCGATGCTGAGAGTCATGCAATAACATTTATGTTAATTGCCTGCTAGAGCAGTGCCATTAGGCATTTTATTAACAAAAGGCCAAACAATGCAGGCATATATTGAAGCTTTTACATTGCTTCAAGAAGCTGTACCAGATGGTTTTAGTGGGAATACATACCCGGCTATTTTTCTGACTGACTAATTACAAGCAGAGATAAATGCAGTAAGATATGTATGGCCAAAAAGTCAAAATTTATTGTGCATCTTTAATGTTGCTCAAGCACTCTGGAGATGGATGTGGGAGTCGAGTAATAATATTCCCAAAGAACAGCGTCCCTCAGGGGCTCACTTTTGTGAGTACGGGTGTGGCAATCACGAGGTACCCTAGCCCTTCAGGGGATCATCTTCTTGGTGAGACGAGTGTCACGATCCTGGAGCCCCAGTGATCTATCCTCTTTTCCGTCTCCTCTCCTCTTGGCGGGAACTTTTTCCCTTCCCTTCTCCCTCGTGGTTTCTCTCTTCGGAGTTTGGGGCTCGTCACGAGAGACTGGAACAGCCCTTGTCTCTAGTTTTCGAGTGGCGAGAAAACTGCCCACGTGTTTACCGTTCGTGGAGACCTGTGTCGCTGGAAAGAAGGGTCCTGGTAGTTGAGGGGCGAGGTACTGTCCCCAACACACTGCTTTGGTCTCTGCTTCAGCTAAACGGGAGGCACCTTAGTCGTCCTCACGGGTGTCAATCGGATGGTTACTAGTCCTTGTGGTCAGTGGCTTGGGGATAAGCTCTCGGGAGTACCTGCTTTTGGGAAAGCCGACTGTGGGGCTTCAGTTTGCGTATAGGTCAAGCTAGCCCTAACACAGGAATCTGTGTTCCCTTGTTGGACTCCGTGGGGGCGGGGCCGTCGGACCCGAATCTTCTCTTCTTAAATATGGCAAATTCAAAAATATTCCTAATTAAATACTTCGAAGTTAGTCCCGTCGCTCTAATCGCTAGTTCCGAAAAATCAGCTAAAAATGTATGTACAGATGCAACTGCTAATAATCCTAAGAATAGTCCCCGTTTCATTGTTGTCTCTAGTCCTTCTGGCGAGCTTCAAAAGATGCCCCCTTTTGTTATAAATAAATATATCCATTCTTGTACTGGTGAACCAAGAAATATTAAGCGTTCCGCTCTGGAGATTTGCTGATTGATACAACTTCGGCCACCCAGTCTGCTTCCTTACTTCAAATAACCAAACTTGGTAAAGCAACTGTTGCTGTAACAGGGCATAAGACATTGAAAAGGCATGATTCTCGATATAAAGGCGTAATCTCGGAAGTCGACCTTCTGTCTGTTCCTGAAGAAGAGTTTCGTTTCCGAGTTAGCTGATCAAAAGGTTTGTGCTGCAAAGCGGATCAAGATGCGTAAGGAAGGTCAGTTGATTGACACGAAAACACGGTCATCCTGACCTTCAAAAAGCCTGATCTGCTAGAAGAATATCAAAGGCTGGATATCTTAATTGCCCCGTAAGACCGTATATTCCAAATCCCATATGCGATGCTTCCAGTGCCATGCGTTTCGGCCATTCCAAGTTTGGTCACTGTAAAACATCCTGTCGTGGGAACCTGACGTGCGCTCGATATTCATTGGTTGGCCACGATAGGGATAATTGCACTGTTGCCGCACTGTGTATAAATTGCAAGGGTGACCATCCAGCATTTTCCCGATCATGCTCAAAATGGAAAACAGAAAAGGAAGTACAGACGTTAAAAGTCACTAGGAACATCTCGTATGCGGAAGACAGAAAACTAGTGCAAAGGATACAGCCTCAATCAAACAAGTCATATGCCAGCGCCGTTAAATCAACACGTTCCATTGCACCCAAACCTCAATAAGTACACAGACAGCTAACAGAATAAAACCATCAACCTGCAAGCAAAAAAAAAAAGGAAAATCAACCAACACACGTAGTACAAAATAAAGAAGTAGTATTTTCAAAGCAAGCCAAAAAATGTCTCTGAAAAATCAATTAAGAAAAATAAAAGTCCCAGGAATAGTTCTGTTGATGAAATGATTTCTGAATCGGGAGATTCAGATAGCATGGAAGTGGAAGAGGGCATGGAAATTCCCGAACATCTGCTTCCGCGCAAAACTAAAAAGCAACACAGAACTAACAAACATCAAACATAATGGCCACATTCATCTCATGGAATTGTAGCGGATTCCATCGAAATTTCCTTGACATCAAAGCTATGATCAATGCTTATCAGCCTGTGTGCTTGGCAGTACAGGGAACAAATCTGAAACCAGATCAACATGCAAAACTTCGGAGGTTTTTCTTTCTTCAGGAAGGATTACCTTGCAGGTGAACGTGCTTGTGGAGGTGTAGGTCTCCTCACCTCACTAGATTATCCCTCAAGTTCCCTTACTTTGATGACATCCCTCCAAGTTGTCGCTTTACAAGTAAATGTTCATATTGTAGTTTCAGTCGTTTCTCTTTATTTGCCTCCTAACGAGCACATTGATCAGCAAGATTTAAATGGTCTTATAGAGCAGCTGCCTGTGCCTTTCATCATAATAGGAGATTTTAACAGCCATAGTCCGCTCTGGGGTAGTAAAGATACAAATTGCCGAGGAAGACAAATTGAGCAGATGATCGAAGATCATAGCCTTTGTCTCCTGAATAATGAGCAGGATACGTACTTCCATGAGCATTCAAGGACATACCACGCTCTCGATCTTGCCATCTGTTCACCATCTCTGTTGCCATTTTGCACTTTTAGTGTGGGAAATGATCTTCACGACAGCGATCACTATCCCATTTTTATATCCCTTGCACGAAGAGGAGCAAACCCCATGTCGAGATCCCCTCGATTCATACTCGATAGGGCAGACTGGGAACTTTTCTCTTCCACCGCAGAGCTCACAGAGAACATGGTAAAAGATGCGCATATCGATGATGCTGTTGAAGCTGTTACTAATACTTTTATTGAAGTAGCTATGCTGTCCATTCCTAGAACATCAAGGAAAACACTAAAATATTCGAAACCGTGGTGGAATCGCGACTGTCATGAAGCACAGAAAAAACAGAAAAAATCGTGGGGTATTTTTCCTAGATATTCTAATCTGTGAAACCTCATAGCTTTTAAAAGAGCCAAAGCAAATGCACGAAAAGTAAGAAGGCTGAGCCAAAGGAATTCTTGGATTTCATACGTGTCGTCAATAACATCTTCCTCGCCTAGTAAGCGAGTTTGGGAAAGAGTTCGAAAAGCATGCAGAATAAATAAAGACTACTCACTTTCCTTTTTGGAAAAAGATGGCCGAGTCATTAGCTCCATAGACGAAATTGCGAAATACTATTGGTGAGACATTTGCTGCAGTTTCTTCCAGCAAGAAACTATTCACCTGCATTTCTCTCTATCGAAGCAGCAACTCTGAAATAAATCCCATCGCATTCAACTCTTGCAAATCTGAGCCTTTACAATAGAGACTTTACTATGCTGGAAATTAAGGAGAGCTCTGTTGCAGACACATAGGTCTTGTCCGAGGTCTGGATGGCGTGTAATTAAGAAATGCTAAAGCATTTGTCCTATAAGTCACTGACTGCCCTTCTCAAACTATACAATAGAGTGTGGAAGGAGCGTACTTTTCCCAGTGCATGGAGGAGAGCTGTTGTAATTCCTATTGCAAAGCCAGGGAAAGATCCGAGAAATCCCTCCAACTTTCGGCCAATTGCCTTTACGAGTTGCGTATGCAAGCTGTTTGAAAAAAAAAATGGTAAACAGCCGCCTAGTCAAATTCTTCGAAAAGAATAATATTATATCGCCTTATCAGAAGCGGTTTTCGAAAGGGGAAGAACTACCGTAGAATAATATGCTCCTTTTAGAGACATCCATTCGAAAAGCTTTCCTAAGAAGGAAGTCACCTTGTCTCGGTATTTTTTGACATTGAGAAAGCTTATGATAAGGCATGGAGATATGGTATACTTCGAGCATCTTCACGAGAGTGGCTTGCGCGGCAACCTACCAATTTTTCATTCAGAATTTCTTTGTAATACTACAACACGTTTTCAAGTAAGGATTGGCTCTGTTTTGTCGGATGTTTTTGAACAAGAAGAGGATGTGCCTCAAGGCTGTGTGCTTAGTGTAACTCTTTTCAGCCTAAAATAAATTCTGTATTAAAACAACTTCCTCCCACCATTTCAGGATCTCTATATGTTGATGATCAACAAATTAGCTGTCGAGGTGCGGATATGAGACATGTAGAGAGGCAGCTATAGATCGCTTTGAGCAGGATCTAGGAATGGGCAAAAGGACAAGGATTTACGTTTTCGAAACAAAAGACTGTCTGTGTGCATTTTTGTAGAAAGCGAGGTCTCCATCCTGAGCCTGAATTATACCTTAATGGGTCTGTGATTCCAGTTGCATCTGGAGTAAAATTTTTAGGGGTGATGTTCGACCGAAAATTGATTTTCTTCTCTCATGTTTTAAACCTGAGAAAAAAAGTGTTTAAAAACACTAAATATTTTAAAAGTGTTGGCGAACACCTCCTGGGGTGCAGA